GGCACTATGAGATCTGGGAGAGCAAAATGCCCCCTCATAGTCCCGTATTTGCAATAAATGTGACTCTTTAATTCGACTTTTTGAGGCGTCCTTGTGTGATTTGCGGGGTACATTACAACAAGAAGATAGAGCTATGCAGGTGTTATGATAAAACTGTAGAGTGTTTTCAAAGCCAGATAGAGTTATAAGTAGAGAGATATGGGGAAGAGTGGATGGCTGATGTGGCTTTTAGAGGAGGAAATTTTGTAATTAACTGAAACATGATAGAACTCTTCAGTATATGTGAATTCTCTACACACAAGGGATATTTAAATCATAATTTTGTTCTGCAATATAGTAAAAATTAAAGTTACTCTTCAGATGGAAAATAATACAGTTCAGTTCTGTATTGCATCAGAGCATAAGTGGTGGGACAGCCTGATATCCTAGAGCTCGTATTCATAGGATGGGCTGGGCCTCAAGGGAGCATTGTTAGGACTGACCTCGGAAACCATACTCCTTGTTTTTGTGAAACAGACAAAGATAGGCAACCATGTTCCAAACCTGAAGGCGTGTCAGGAGGGCAGACTTCAAAAGCTACTAAAAATTAGTGGCTCTGAGAATCTTTCTGAGGCCTGCGACTATGACCTCATCATCATTGGAGGGGGTTCAGGAGGACTGGCAGCTGCTAAGGAGTCAGCCAAATATAACAAGAAGGTGTTAATGATACGAGAGATAAAAAATGTTAGTAAATTTAGTACTCAATTTTTGTCCCAAAGCAAGTCATGTCTTGAGAATGCAAATAAGTTTCCTTCTTGCTTGGAAGGCATGATTTGGCTCAGTTGGTAGGCTTTTAGCAGAAGTGTTTATGCATTGTTAGCATTCCAGCTTGTGTTATTACTGAGGTACTAACTTCACAGTTACAGATTTCTATGTAAATGTACTGACCATATATTCAGGCCATCTTCTCACTATATATGTTGGATTTTAAACATTTGCTGTGGACATCAGGCCTCCTACCAGCAGTTCCTGTAGCTTCTTTTTAATTCTTTCCCCCCTGTTTGTATTTCTCAGCTACAACACTGAGTGGTTGATTCAAAGTACGTTTCTTGATCACCTCAGGAGACTCATGTGTCTGTCTGGCATTCAGTCGCAGAGTACCTAACCCTGTCCCACATATCTCTGCCTCATGCCTTTGTCCATTCTGGTTACATGATGTAAATAAGAAAATGTAAAAAGGAGAGGGGAGTTGAGGCAGTTGACTGTGTTGAGTTTTATTTGTGTGGTTTTTTTGTAAAAAAAATATATTTTGTCTCCAAGTCTGTCAATCTCCAAATGAGAACAATAATCAGTTGTGGTTCTCTCTGCTCAGTGGAATGGAAGGTTCTGTCCCCACAAGGAGGAACATATTTTATGGACTTGTCTCGTTTAGATTTTTGTAATTGCCCAATGTATCAAAACTCATATTAAGTTCCATGTATTTTTGTTATGAATCTTCAAGAATAAAACAAAGTGTGAACACTTAAAAGGTATTGATAGCCAAAAAAAAAAGAAAGAAAAGAAAAAGTGTACAACTATGAGCATTTTGACATAAGCACTCACAAGGACCTTCATTTCAATTCACCAGTGTCTCAGGATTAAGAGAAACATCCATGCCTACTTAGCTCAGTAATGTCAGCACCATGGACAGCGATGTCATGGCAACATGCTGCATCTCCCAGCAGAGGAGTTGACTTGATGTATATCTGCCACACCAAACCAGTGGATTGAATCTTATGGTGAATTTCAGAGACTAATATTTCTACCATTTCTATCAAGATTCCCTTTCTTTGAACTCCCACTAGGAAGAGGAAAGCCCCATATGCACGCTATTTAGAGACTTGGTGTACAGATGTGTGCGTATGTTCTGCCGGAGGCTAATTCCACCATGTCATAAATGTAAGAAGTTTCATCAAAAGGTTGATGGAACCTTGAGGCTTCTATATTCAGCAGGGCTGAATACATGTTATTACCTACTGGAATAGCTTGAGGACATTTCCCCACACCGAAAGATTTGGATATATTATTGCCTGTTGCCAGACAGCTGAGGGCATTTTATTCTACATGTTATTGCCTCCTGCTGGCCAAACACCTGAACAGCCAGCCAAAGGCAGTTCCCCCAAAACTAACAATGCCTACTGTATACCAAACCTTAACCTTTGATATGTATATCTACCCTGCCTTAGGACAATTTGTGTTAATAAAGAGCGAGGGATCCGGAGATTCAGAAGAACTTGGTTCCTATAGCTAAGCTTCCTCTGGCTCCCCCATGGATTACAAATTTATATTTCTAGTCTATTTATTAATTTACACCACAGCACCTTCTCCAGATTCCTGAACCCTTCTAGATGCTGGGAAACACCTACCTACATTAATGTTCACATGCACACATACATATACACAGAAAACAATGCTTTCAAAAAACTAAAACGAATTCTTTCTACAAATATTGAGGAATCTGGAAGAAGAAAATGGGAGTATCTTAAAGTGGCACTTTTGCCCTTCTGAATTCAACTTTTTCTGAGTACTAAGACATGGAACTTGGTTGTCCAGGATATTGAGCACCTTAAGACCAGCCAATTATCCCTAGTCTGAGGCCCCCTGCTTGCCCCTTCTGAGGCCAAAGATACAAAAAGATTAAAAAAAAACTGAAGAGGCTGGTTGGCCTAATTTTATGAGTGTATTTTGGATTATTTATTTATTAATTAATTTTCATCTGCGTGCTTCTTTTTTTTTTTTTAAATATATATTTTATTGATTTTTTACAGAGAGGAAGGGAGAGAGATAGAGAGTTAGAAACATCGATGAGAGAGAAACATCGATCAGCCGCCTCCTGCACATCTCCTACTGGAGATGTGCCCGCAACCCAGGTACATGCCCTTGACCGGAATCGAACCTGGGACCCCTCAGTCCGCAGGCCAATGCTCTATCCACTGAGCCAAACCGGTTTCGGCATCTGCGTACTTCTTAATCAGACATTTTATGAGTGTATTTTGGATTATTTATTTATTTATTAATTTTCATCTGCGTACTTCTTAATCAGATTTAGCTTGATGTTGGGCCTTAATGGCATCTCAGGGGCCAGAGCTAGGGTAGAATAGTATTGTTTACTTAAGAAAAAAAGAAAAGGATGGAAAGAAATGTGTGAAGTGATTTAGAACCTATAAAAAGCATCTGCAGTACATCTCCTAGCCAAAATCTTTCCTTCTTCAATCTTGTTTGTCCCAATAGGAAGTCAAAGAAGAGTTGAACAGTTTCCACACAATAGACTTTTTGCATTGGAAGGGAGTAAATAGAACTTCTTTATCCTGAGCCAATTACACTTCGCTTTTCTCTGAGGCCCACTTGAGTCTGTTTCTTTTCTTTGATACTTTATAGTTTTGTTAAGATTTTCTAGGTTGAAACCTAAGATAGAGATAGGGATCTGATTCATAGCAAGAACATTGTAAATTTGGCTTTTTCTCACAATGACCTAGGCAATAGCATCACCAAGAGATTAAAGAGTTTAAAGTGACTTGGAAATTGCAGAGTGATGGGAGATCCCAGGGAAAATTAATTTTTGTGGGTATTACCTATTCTCTTAACTGATTTTTCTTGGTCAAGACCCCAAGGGAGAAAGTGGGCAGTATTACAATCCCAACAAAGACTTTAGCCAATCCCACAGGGAACTGTGGCAACAGGCCAGTCTTTACAGCCCCATTATTGGACATCAGCTACCCCTATAAAGAAGTATGTATGACCTTGAAGAGTGTGTTCAGTTTTCTTTACTCAAGGCTAACAGCTGAGGGCCAAATCTATCATCACTCCCAGCAGCTGGGGGAATAACCCCTTTCTTCCTGAAGAGGGTCTAGACCATTCATCGCAGCATCCACTAAAACTCCCCCAAATTGTGGAGGCCTACCCCTAGTCAAGACTTTAGCTTAAAAGTCCTCTTCCGCCGAAACCAGTTTGGCTCAGTGGATAGAGCGTCGGCCTGCAGACTGAAAGGTCCCAGGTTCGATTCCGGTCAAGGGCATGTACCTTGGTTGCAGGCACATCCCCAGTGGGAGGTGTGCAGGAGGCAGCTGATCGATGTTTCTCTCTCATCAATGTTTCTAACTCTCTATCCCTCTCCTTTCCTCTCTGTAAAAAAATCAATAAAATATAATAAAAAAAAGTCCTCTTCCATCCATTTGCAATGGATTACCAGTTCATATTTGCCCATCTCAGTTTATTTCAGAGCACAGTATATTTTCCACAGTAATTGAAATGCAAATAGGGAGGTATCTGGAAGGAAAAGTGATCTGACTAGAAAAAGGGCATGAGAGGCAATTATACCAGAGTGACCTCATTGTCATGGTTTGTTGGCTTAGAGTGGGGATGAAATCAGAACCACATGATGGGTCCACTTGAAATCATTGAGAATGGCTGGTAAGTGGGTGTCATATTAGTTCTGGATCTTCTTCTATCCTCTGTATGCCTCTCTTAGAAATATTGATGAATCATTAAAGAGGAAAGGGAAGAACATGCCCTTACACATGGACCAACCTCATTCTGCCAGCTGGTCCTCAGGGTCCCCCTAATTCTAACCCTGGGCCTCCAGTGCAAGTTGAGAGGTGAGAAGAAGAAAGCAAATATCTTTTTTTAAATGATAATATTCCCATTCTCTGCTCACCCTGGAGGCTTATTTTGAAAATCACAGTGATTTAACTTGTTAGCAGTTTAATTCACTTTTTTAAAAGATTAACCAGACCAGTTATTCATCAGATTTCACCATCTTTGTCAGCTTCAATAAGGATCCTTTGTTACAATGATTAATGTGTTTTAATTGTAGCTTCTCTCAGGGCAATAATTCGATCGCACAGTATTTGACGAATCTATGGAAATCATGGAAATGCTTTGACAGCTGAGCTATTCTTGGGAAATGAAAGTAAAGGAATATATGTAACTAACAAAAAGTGTTTTATAGCATATGATTAATACAGATTTTCCTTCTCTGACAGACCTTGCTCTATTGCAGTTCATGAAACTACTTGCCATGCATGTCAACTTGTCATCCAGAAACTCTCAGGAGGTAGAAATCACTTAACACAGGTGACTGGACTTTCTGGAGTTTGTGACCTCAAACATGCTAGTCCTTGTAATAATTATGGCAAATATACCTAAGTCACAGGGAAAGTTCATCAAATTAGCCAGTGTCTATAAATAATCATCCAATTAAGACACTGGATTCTGTATTGACCACTCTATTTCCTACCCAATGCTTCATCTTCACTCATGGAGTGGCTATTGTCCAAGTTAAGGAGTTTTACAACATCAAAAAGGTGTCTGTAGAACTGCCAGAGAGATGAATTGTATATGGCCAATACTAATCTCTAACTTAAAATGTGTTTTAATGTTATTATTATTTTCAGAGAGGAAAGGAGAGGGAGAGAAAGATAGGAACATCAATGATAAGACAATAGCATTGATCGGTTGCCTCCTGCAAGCCCCACACTGGGGATCGAGCCTCCAACCCAGGCAAGTGACCAGACCAAGAATCGACTGTGGCCTCCTGGTTCATAGAGCGATGTTCAACCACTGAACCACGCCGGCCGAGCAATGTTATTATTTTTTAAAGCACAATGGTTCTAAGCACTTTCAAGTCAGACAGATCTGGAGTTGATTCTTGGCTCTGTAAGCCAGGTGAGCTTGGGAAAAATTAGTAGTACTTAGCCTCCCTGAGCCACAGTCTCCTCATCTCTAAAGTAGGTGTAAAAATACCACCTCATAGTAAGGATTAAAATGAGGTATCACATGTAAGACCTACCACAGTGCCTCCCGTGGTCGGCAAACCAGGACTCGCCATGTGGCTCACGAGCCGTGGTTTGCCGAGCTGCGAGCCGCGGTTTGCCTAGACTATAGTAAACATGTAATAAATTATTTCTGAAAAAGCTATAGGCCTTTATAGTTTAAGAAAATCATATGTATGTAAGCATTTTTGTTTCTCACAGTAACTCTGATATAGGTAGGCAAGGTGTGCTGCTGTTATGGTTGTTTTTCAGAGAACACTAAGCACAGAGGGTTGTGGTAATCTTGGTAAACATGTCATATATGTTCATCAACTAACGGCTTAATCAAGCACAAAGGGTGCTTTAAAACCCACAGATGCTTATTCCCATTCCATTGGTTTGTGTGTGTGTGTGTGTTTTTTACTGCAACCTTGGAGGCACCAAGGGCTCTGAATGAGTGCAGTAGTTAGTTGAGAATAGAATAACTAATTCATTATTTGTTGACAAACATTAGCCCCACTGTTGGAATAAATACATCATTAATAGCTAAGAGCCAGGCATTACCTGATTTAATTCATAGAGCAAGCCTAGGAGGTAAATATCACTATTACTGTCCTTTCAATAGCCGAGGACACTGTGGCTTAGAGATATTAAATAGCTTGTTTGGGAAATTGAAACCCCGGTCTGTCCAACTCCAGTGTCTGTGTTTTAACAGTACATATTCTGTCTCCTACCAATCCCACTTTACAAAATGTTGTTCTAAAAAAGGAGTGTTTTGAGACCTATGAGGCCGATAGGATAACCAGTTACCATGCTTTAAATTACTGTCCTAGTGGTTCAGGTCCCATGACTCAAAAATTCCTTAACTTCTGAACCAGAGGTTAGGATACTGTTGTTTTTTCACTTAGGGAACAGCATCAGCTATGAAAAAGGTTTATATGGTCAAATATTTGAAACTAAATTCTCCCTTGGATATTCATAATACACATTTAATATAGAAAATACTATATTTTAAAAAGGTTAATGATGTTAAACCTGATTTGTAAGCTTTTTTGACCACAGAACCCTTTTTTTGGGTTAAAATCAGTAAAAAACTCTGGGAACCCATTTAGGTTCATTTAAATAATAACTGTGGCCAAATTTCTGAAGCACTTAGTATTTCACAAACACTGACCTCAGAACTTCCCATGTATTAACTTATGTTATAATACTCCTATGATAAAAGTGTTTTCAGAATAATCTTATGAGGTAAATGTTTTTCCTAAACAACTTTCCCCAAATCACAAACTAGTGAGTGGCAGAACCAGGACCTGAATTCAGGTGTCTCTATCCAGTTCCCGTGCTCTCACAGCTGCCATGGAAGAGCTGATTCAGCATGTCCTACTCAAAGAAGTATCAGATTATTTTCTAAATTAAATATGCAATAAGCATGCTATAGCAAATTTCCATTTTTATTAAATTCGCCCCACCGAGGGGAAATAACTGGCAAAACCACCTCCCTGAGTCAGACACTCAACACAATCAGAGTTGTCTATCTGATATTAATAACTATATTTTCCTCTAGAATGCTGTTTAATTCTTAAAATATTTGATTCCCTTATAGACATATACTTATATTTTGTGTCAGACACAGAGGTAATAATCACTTCAATTTTCCTCCAGGACTAATGCACCAACATCAGATAGATAACAGTTCTCACTTAGAAAGTCGGTTGATCACCCATCTGAAATAGGAAAGATGTTATTTATCCCCGTAAGGCAAAGGCACAGAATTTTTTCCCTCTTCACTGCTTCCCCCCCCCCTTACTTTCCTTTTTCAGTTTTAGGTGGAGCAGTGGCTTGTGGAGTGGCAAAGTTTGGGACTCACTCACTTAACTGAAGATACCCCAGCCTTGAAGAAGGACCAGTAGAAAGGCAATGCCTCAAAGGTACAGAAAGCCCAAAGAAAGCTTCCAAGTACTGTTATTGCCTTCTTTTCCTTTTGATCCCTTCTCCCCATAGAGCAGCTGTTTTTTGAAAGCGTATTTGTCCAAGTTGTTACATTAACAAATTTGCACTGATTTCTTTATCTAAAGACCACCTTGTTGGTGGGCGGTGAACTTTTCCGTCATGCCAGGCCTGCTACACTGTCTAATGTCACAAGTGTCTGCTCACATTATCTCCCGGAGACTAGAGAAGATTCCGCATGGGGCTTTTCCAGCAAGTTGATTTGACAGGTTGAGTCCCCATGTCAGCTCATGGCACTTAGTTATCAGCCTTCCTCGGGGAGGAGAATTTAGAGTGCACCATATTCAGGTTCCAAATCAACTGCTGTCCCCCCAGGAAGCCGTGTGTTGCATTATTAAAAGAAATGCCTTCATCCATAGCACCATATTTAAACATTCATCCCCATAAGACAAAAAAGTGGAGTGGAGGGTACAACACAACAGTGCTCTACACCCTTCACTGTGTTAACTCTTTCTCCTCATATTTCAGCCCTCCCTCAATGAACAGTTCTATAATTTATTGGTGAGCATGAACACTTCTATTTTGTGAATTTTACCTTTATTTTAAAAAGGGGTGCTTTTGCATTTACTTGGGATGGCTATTAAACATTCCCCTAAATTGTAATATCTTGGGACTGAGACCAGAATCTTCTGAATCTCTTCGTTTCGCTGAGCTCTTATTACACAGTTAAATCCAAAAATCTAGCCATCAGAAATAGCAATGGCTTATCTGTTACCTACCTGTCCCAGGAGTTCAAAGGAAATGCAAGAATTGGTTCTGAGTTGAAAATGAACATCTCAAACTCACACTTTAATAATTATAATTTTAGATATTTTTAATTTTAAAATGTATGTCTGGTTTACCTTTAGCTTTCCAAAGGAGAACTTGACAAGAATGCTGGAGAAAAAGAGGGATCCTTTTTAAAGCTTTATGTTGATATAAATATGAAAATGGATTAAACTCTGCTTCCAATTTCCAAACATGTGTACTTCAATGAATATTAAATGGTAGCCCCTCTCACCATCATGACTTATTTACTCACCAGAGTTTTATCAAAAAGGGCCTGGAATTGCCTATGGAGCGTGAAAGTCTCCTGTAATTGAGTTTAGAGTGGTACATCCACTAAACAGGCCATGGCCCCAGAGACACCCCCGAAACCCACCTGTCAGCTGGTGTTAGATCACAGCTCAAACAAGGCATGATGTCTGCTCCTACTAAACACTGCTGTAGCCCAAAACAAAAAGAGAAGTTGTTCCCCAGGGGATGAGGGAGGGCTGGGGGCAAATCATGGGGGTTGGGACGGCAGGCGAAAATCCCTCATCTAACAGCTGCCTAATGTCAGCTGGTATCATGATCTGAAACTCAGCTTGGGTGGGGAACTGGCTAGGGCCTCACTTGGTAAGGTGTCATTTCTTTATTCCACATCCATTCAGTAGTAGCGTAATGGAGTGGACAAGAAGCTTTTTCATCACGGTTGAGCCACGGAAATCAAAGCCCAGAGTTTCAGTGAGGATAAAGATACAACAGGCAAGAAAGTCCACATCTGAAAATGGAGGGGAGTGTCCAACTAAGACATGCTGGATCAGCCAGAGATGAGAGTAGGAGCATTTTATGCTAAAGAACCATCATTCATCTAATAAACATTTATTAATTGTTTACTAGTGCTGATTACTCTATCAGTTGCTGACTTTATATAGATAAAACACAGTCCTTGCTTTGAAGGAACTTAAAATGATGTAGTTGGGGAAAAACACAGATAAGTCAACTATTACAATACAGTGTGTCAAGGAGCAAAAATATGTGCTTAAAACAGTAAGTTAAGGCTTCTTGGAGAAAGTGACCTTTAAACTGTTTTTTTAATAGAATGAGTAGGCAAAGGAGAAGAGTAGGATGTGTGTGGGATGGTGGTATTAATAAGAATAGATAGACACCATCAAAAGGGATGGTGTGGTACTCTTTTGGAGCTTGATGTGGCTGGTGCATGTGTGATGCGTTAGAGCAGGGGAGGGGAACATCCAGCCCACAGGCCCCATTAGGCCGGCAAAATCATTTGGTCTGGCCCTGCCAAAGCATTAGGGTGAGTTAATTATAGAGTGAGTTAATTAAACGTTTGACCGAATATAGCAGGCCAATTTTTAAGTTAAGATAATGTTGTATAGCCTGAGAATGATGTTATAAATACCCAAATGGTCCTTGGGTTAGAGCCTGAGAGAATGGGACTATATATATAGAGAGAGAAATCAAATGACTGAGGGCTTTATCAACTAAAATCAGTCTCAAATTTATCCTGAAAGCCATGGGGGACCAGGGAAGGATTTTAAGCGGAGGAGTGCAGTGGTCAGGTTTGCCTTTTAGAAAGACCAGTTTACCTGTTGTGCATGAATTAGAGGGGATGAGGCTGGAAAAAGGAAGGCCGAGCAGAAGGCAATTAAAGGAGCTTTTAAGAGAGAGAGGGCAATGGCTCGAAGTAGGAAAGTCACATGGAGATGGAGAAGGGAGGACAGAATGAGAAATATAGAAAAGAATCAGCAAGACCTGGAAGGCAATCAAAAATGGAAAAAGAGCCCAGCTGTGATGGCTCGGTGGATTGAGCGTCGTCCCATGGACCAAGAGGTCCTGGGTTCGATTCCCAGTCAGGGCACATGCCTGGGTTGCGGGCTCCATCCCCAGTAGCGGGTGTGCAGGAGGCAACCAATCAATGAGTCTCTCTCATCATTGATATTTCTATCTCCCTCCCCCTCTCCCTTCCTCTCTGAAAAAAAAAAAAATAGAACAAGAGGAAGGAATTCAGGATGGCTTCAAGTCTTCTGGCTTGGGTGTAGGGTTGCTAAATTTAGCAAATAAAAATACATTTAATATTTGTTCTGAGCATTGTCTGTGTTCTGTATTTGTCTGATTGCTTTCTTGGAGTAAGGGAATGTGTTCCTCTACCCTGTCTTTCCTGTAAACTAGTAGTTATCTTTAGGGCCTTGCTTAGAGTCAATCAGTATGTTTAGGCACCAATATTTCATAGTGGCGCTGTTACCATCAGGCATATACTGTCTGATTGTTTCGCTTTTAATGATGCCAATATTGATCAGTAAGTTTCAGTAGTGTCAACCCACAAAGTTCCCTGTTAACCTTTCATCTGATTATTTTAGTATCCATTGATGATTATTACCTACATTCATTATTTAATTTGGAGTATTAGTGATTTTTGAAAATTTCTATTTTTTTAATCCTCACCTGAAGATATGTTTATTGATTTGAGAGAGAAAAGAAGAAGAGAGAGAGAGAAACATCAATGTGAAAGAGAAACATCAATCGGTTGCCTCCCATATGTACCCCAACTGAGGATCAATTGAGCAAACTAGGTATGTGCCCTGATCGAATCCATGACCTTTTGGTAATGGGACAATGCTCCAACTAAGTGAGCCATCTGGCCAGGGCTAAAAAAATTCTTTTATTCCTTCTCTATTTATTAGCTGGAATTCCTCCAGCTCCAGAATACTGTTGATCAAGGGAATAATGGAGTTGCCAAGCACTCGGGGCCAAGTGAGGGTTGGCCTGGCCTTGCTCCATATTTAAAAAGATTAGTTCAGACTTATTCCAACTGAAGTGACCCTTTGTGCTCAGATAATATTGAAGTCAGCAAGTATCCTATGAGACGGGGGGAGGAGAGAGGGTGAAGGGGTGTCTCCCTTTTGCTCCAAAATAAAGGAGTTCTTTTTTAGTTTTAGGAGAGGCCTTTTTCAGGGCACAGCGAGCTCAGGGCTGGTGAGCACCTGAGGCCTGACCTCCAGGGACTGGCTTTGCTGGTGTGGGAAGGGCTCTCTTGAGCCTCTCCCACCTCAGTCAGGCTTTGGCTCCCCTGTTCCTCTCCAGGGAAGCAATGGCCATTCAACCCCGAACCCAAAGGACCAAATATCTGAGCCTCTGATGCTCTGACCTCCTGGCCCCTCCCTCTGAGTCCTCAGATGGGAGTCCCTTTGCCACCCTGGTGGGAGCACTAGACTCCACACCTTCTTTGAGAAACAAGAATAGAGCTGATCTCTTGCCTGGTATTCCTGCTAGATCTAAAGTCTCTGCAGAAAGCCTCATGACAAACAGCCTCCTAGACAGGGCCCGGTTTCTGGGTTTAATACGCAGCTCTGAGACCCCAGGATTGAGTGGAGACTGGGCTCCATCAGGCTGTATGGACAGCTCCCTACTCAGCAGCAGAATAAATCGAACAGGCCATTCTCCCTTTCTTACAAAAGATAGGCCTGCGTGGAAAAAGCAGCACCAACACTTATTTCTTGGAGGAGATATATTTTAAATTCTTCTAAAAGTGTACTTTAGTAGGATTCCATGGTATACATTATTGTCTTTAAAATAATGAGACTTTTAATCCCCTCAAGGCACTAATGGAAAAAAAATACTTTGTTTTTCAAAATAGTCACCTGCCTTTAAGATGGTTACAAATCACAGAGGGAAATCTGTGTTATTTGTCTTCCCACCAGTAACATTTAATTTAGAATGACTTTTAGCTGTTTCTAGAAAATCAGATCCACTCTGAAAGCACAGTGGTTTTCCCTCACCAAGGGTGGCCGAAGAATTTGCCATAGGCTGAGCACAGCTGGCAGGGCAAGGGAAGCTGCTTGCCCCTGCACCTCTCCCACTTAGACACTGGGTGGCAGACTTACCTTCCAGATGGAGGCATCTGGTGCCTTCAAACTAGGGAAGCGACTGGCACTGGCAGCCTTTCCTTTGCTACTAGCTGCCACACACTCTCAAGCAGATCCCAGGGGCATCTGGTGGGCTCCCAGGGAGAGTGTGACTGAGCTTTGGTGGAGGGAGGGGGTAGCAAGGGGAAGAGGTGTCTGGTTTGGACTGCCTGCCTGCCTGTCTGCAGCTGCAGTGGCATCAGGCCAGTGCCTACTGGATCCCAAACTTCATGGTTTATGGCTACAGTGATTCCACT